CAATTTTATGTTATGTGAATTTCCCCTCAATAAATTTTAAAAAATGACAGAAAGTAGGATGGTTTGGCCTATCCAGGAAGACTGGCTATTGGGAGAAAATTGAGGCCAAACCCAGAGGAGTAGACTGGGCTGTTTGCCTAGAATAGACAGAGAAAATCTATTTCATGATGATTTCTATGAGTAGCAGGCCAGAAAGCATTACTAACTAACCAGGATGTCAGAGTACTCCTGAGAATGCAGCCGAAAATAAAATTCAAAAATAATAATAACAAATGGAGAGACCAGAGAGAAAGGAACTCCTTCCTGTTGAAATCTGGGTCAACCAAAAAAGGAAGCCATAACTTAGGCAGGAAGGACATAGAAACAAAAGTAAGCAGGAGCCACGGAAGTCTCATCCCTGTGAAGAGTCAAGCTGAACTCTGTGAATAGTATGTGAACTCGTGTGTAGCTCAAAATATCCTCACACCAAAAAAAGTACCGTGGAACCCCAAATGTTCAGAATGGGAGAGGCCTGTGCTTCCATTTGTGGGTGACTGCCACTTGTGATTTCTCAACATAAATACATTCGATTTGCCTTTATAGAAGCAGAGATTGAATATAATAATACAAGGATGCCCTTTGTTAGTATGATATATCTAGATGATAATGTTATTATTGGCACTCCTCTGCCACTTTTGGCATATGAAGCACATTTTTGGTTTCTTTTATATTTATTAGATCACATTTTACCTTTTCTATTTTGTTTCTATAAAACGATAGTGTTTGTTTTCTATTATTGGGTAACCTGTACAGTCTGTCTCTCTATAGAACAAGAGAAGCAAACTTCCATGACACCAGGTTCACGAAAGTAACTGTGAATTCTACTAACTTCATCTAATTCCCACTCTTCATAATATAAAAATTAACCCTTGCAACCCAGACACAGGTCCATCCAGCCAAGTGTTTTACATCCAACAAATATACCATAAGCAATTTTGTTAAAAGGTGTGATTGTTTTTCTTAACATTCAACTTCCAAGATTTGGAGTTATAGCAGGACAAAACCAATTTGATGTGGTAGAAGGAGAATAAGGCTGGGAGTCAGAATACCTAATTCTATTTCCAGTTCTGACGCTAACTGGCTGTGCAACCTTAGGAAAGTGACTTGACTCTCTGAATCCCTGTTTCCTTACCTCTAATATAACTTTCCAGGTGTATGCTGTCCAAATACCTCCCAGTCTTTTCAAATAAGCCATATTTGTGATATGACCAAAGAATTAACAATTTCATCTATTCGTGTCTTGAATTTGCATTAGCATTCCTGATTTGTAGCATACCCATGAAAACAGAAGGAAGATACACTTCCCTGAGTTCATTAGCTGAGGCAGAAGCTAGTTAAGGACTATGTAACTATTTAACCAGGATTCCTCTGATATTTATCTCAGTGCCACATAGCACTTGGCTTTGAACTCATAGCCAAAACCCGCAGACACCACTATTCATTGCTCTCTCTTGACCAGTCTGCCAAAGTACAGTCAGATTGAACACGGAGGTGTTTAAGATTACTACAGACCACAGGCCTCTGCTTTACGGAGGAGGATGCAATCTGCTCCACTTCATTCAGCAATTTGCTCCTGATAATTTGACCACTGACAATTCAGTATGGCACCAGACCTAATAAAACAGTACCTTCACAGCTGGTTTGTTAATTGCGTTGTGGCATTCAATGTGCTGGCAGTGGATGGGATTCCAAGCTGTAAAGCAAAGCACAGCTGATGAATACTTTTCACTGAAATTCTCCATGCCCAGTAAAAACAGATACTTCACTATTTTCTTTTTTCTAAATAGAACCATCATCAGAAAGCATCCTAACAGAATCATTTTCTGATCTATGAAAAATTTTTTAAAATCAGGCAAAGATATCACAGCTCCATCCATTTTCCCAGGGGAGAGACAAGCCAATGTAAGGGCCATACACAGTACCATATTACCTCACAATGGTATACCATTAACAAGTTCTCAAAGGTTTTTACAACCATGGTTTCACTTGATCCTCCAACAACTCTGTGGGGCAGGTATAGCAGACTATTAATCTCATTTTATATTAGGATAAATTAAAGTTAAAAAGGTTAAGTAGCTTGATATGATCACAGAGTTAGTAAATGATAAGCTAGGAC